ACTGCCTAAGAGTCTCGAAAATAGGACGAAATAGGTGTCCAGTGTTCCCTGGTTTCCAATAATTCCTCTAAATGATGTTTATTCGAGATGCAAATATAAAGAGTGAAATTACTGTATTATTAAAATCCTAATAAAGAAGTATTTAAAAAAAATTATGACTGATTTTAAATTCTTCGCTAAAAATTCAGTTGACATTGGACATTCAATGGGCAATTTGCATATGAATATAGGATTACTGAACTAAAACAAGATATCATACTGTATGAGTGAATGAAGTTTATGCTTCAGTCTTCGACCTGTAGATTTGCCAATAAACGGGGCTTTAAATAAGAGAAAAGACCATCCAGTGTTTAAATCACTCTGATCTAGTTAGCAAGCACTACTGGTTGACGTGAGTCGCATCCTGCTACTCATGCCAATCAGTAGTAGTATAAGCCATCAAGAGCTATTTTCGACTTGATTTTGCAATTAGATTTAAATCGCTAGTTTCTCTTTAGTTTAGAGTTGATTCACTCAGCTAAAAATTCTTTTCGCCTCAGCAACGTTTCAAATAAGTGCGATAATGAACTCTTGAATTTTATTCATGCATAGAAGAGTGAATATGGTGATTTCAGCAATTAATCTTAAGATGCTGGGAGTGTTTACATATCAGAAGTGTATTTCAGTGAACATTTTGGGAATTTAATTAAACTAACTTGCATAAACATCAAGGATAGACATGCATATGAAATGTGCGTCAAAGAAGAACAACTAAGCAATCTTTGGACATTTTTAGTTATAAGGTATCATCTATTGATATAAGCATAAAACTTGGGCACTGTGGTAGAGTGTAACTCCATTATGGATAAGATTTTATTTTCATAAATCACACAGTGTTGTACAGTAATATTAACTGATATGTTTATGAGTAATAATTTGTGCTCAAAACGTCATCAGTTAATATTACTGTGTAACACTGTGTGATTTATTAAAATAAAATCTTATCCATAATGAAGGTATCATCTAACAGACTTGACAGAGTTACAATAGAAGGAAAAGATTTTTTAGATTTGACGTCAGTTCCAGCACCAGTTAAAACCAGAGAGTACTGGACAGATGCTACTTCCTAACTTGGTATTCTTTAGTAGCACTAAACCACTGGGTTGAAAAGGTGAGCTTATAGACCACTTAGCCACCTGAACAGAATCCAAAAGACTCATGAATACCGACTTCTACCGATAAGTAATTTCGTACCACCAGCAAACTAGATCAAAACAGCTATCCATGGCGCCCTGGTTTTCCGGGGTTCTCTAACTGATACCTATCAGTGAGCAAATCTGATAAAAATCAAATCTCTACAGATTAACCCATTTGAAAACGGGTGTTTCTGTTCAGTGTGTTTTAAAATATTCTGTCTCGGATGTATGTGAACACACAGGGTTTATCGATGTCAGCTGAATTCTTTACATTGGAAATGTCAGATAAGTGAAACAGATATTCTTCAAAATTTAACCTGAATACTGTGTCTGACAGAAATGATTTCCCCTACCTCATAGTCCGTATATGTCTGCTGAACATTTAGGAAACAAGCCAAGCACCAAAATGCCTAAGTGATGTACTTAAACATGGCTCTCCTTAATATTAATGTTGTACTTTAGTTCATGAAACTGTCAACAGTGTGATTTCTTGGAACACTTTTCTATGCAAACAGCTGCAGAACAATGAATCGGAGTACGATTATATGAAATAAATAATCAGATGATAATATATGTGTGAAACTTGGGCACTGTAGTAGTAAGTAATTCCATATTAGTTTGTTTATTAGATATATCACACACAGCGAAACAGTATTATTTACTGGATGCCAACGTTTCGAACATAACTTATTGTTCATAGGTCTAATAGAGTTTCCTGACTTATTATGATAATAATAATAATAGTAATAGAAATATTAATGGTGACATGCGTGTCAAACATGCGCAAGACAACACCAACAATAAGGAATCAAAATCATCAGTAGTAATTCCATACAAGGAAGAAACGTCGAAAACCTTACTCAGAATTCTTAACAAGGCGGGAATAAAAGTGGCTGGCGTTCAAACCAACCACAAACTCAATTGGAAACAAGCTTTGTCGGTTAAAGGATCCTGTAGAGCCTTTAAAAGAAAACAATTTAATTTATCTAATACTCTACTGGAATGATTGTCAGGTCAAATACATAGATCAAACTAGTAGAACAGGGGCAGTCAGAATAGCCGAGCATAAAAACCTAGCAAAATCTAGGTCGGTTGACCCGAATAAGGTAAGAAATCTGGAGAATAGTTCAGCTATACTACTCACTACATGCAATTACACACAACCATACAGTAGGATGGATGGGATAAGAAGACAGTTTTAAAATCTAATGTCACAGTGTAGCGAGTGGGAAAGATTGGCAACCGAAGCTTTGTTTACCGAATCAACTGCAAACGCGTGTAATAGGAATGATTCAACAGCTGTCCCAGATATCTGGAATATTCTACTACCCCAACGATGACAAATAAGAGAGGACAAAGAAAACAATAAAACTCAAGTTTCGAAGTTGTGTGAACAATAATAAATTGTGTCATCCAGTAAATAATACTGTTTCACTGTGTGTGATGTATCTAATAAACAAACTAATATGGAAATAATCAAATGTATTATCGTCATCAGTATCATGCTCTGCTGTCACAAGTAGCTAAGTGTTATTATAGTGAACCGTATTCTTTGTAATACAGTTGCAAAGAAACCACCAAAGTATACCGTTCCGTTCAAGTGTATCTTTTCAATATACACGTTATGTAAACTCTACAAATGACACACTGTTCTAGATTGTGAGTACCGTTGATAGAATAAACCACATCCCATGTGGAAGCATAATAATAACACTTAGAAAGTATTTTCAGAATGAACACAGCTGTACATTTATAAGTTTACTGATCTACCTAAAGCGGAAATATGTAATATACTATAAGAGTGTGGCGTGCGCTAATGACAAGATATAAAGAGACATTCATGGACACAAAAATATCAAGTAGCAAAGAGATAGATTTGATGTCAGAGGAGGGGAATAAACCACTATTGCTGCAAAACATGAAACGCGAAAAGAAGACAGAGAAACACAATACAAAGCTCAGAAGTAGACCACAACACTGAAGATCTGTGCAAATGACGATTTTAAGATAAGGTGTACATAATTTGGCAACATAGAGAAATCAAATTCCAAAAAACCATTTCGTTACTAAGTCTCTGCTACCGTCATATTTGGTGTCACTGCCTCCACATAATGAAAATCCCATGCCATGCTGCTTTCAGGAGCTTCTTGTGGGACTTCGACGAGTTATTGGGCGTCAAGAATCTGGTAGCGAAGTCGGTAGTTCTGAATACGTTCCGATCTCCCCCTCTCTGCCTACATAGTGCATTATCCTGGTTTCGGCTGCTTTGAAACTGATTCAGACCTTTCAGCTTAGTCGATTTGGCTGCACTACTAAGTGAATTTACCCCAAACAAGTGGAACAGCATTCCGGTGTTCTAGCTGCGATCTAGCTAGTAAGCTAGTATATTGAAATGGCTTCCAATTACCTGTGTCAATCAGTAGTATATCCCAAAAAACAAAAACTTATCATTGTGTATAAACTGTTGAAATATAATTATAATTTATTTGATCGATTTCAGAATGCTCAAACGTTTTGCTGACATTAATATATAAGATCTCTTAAAACATTGAAGTCCCACCTTTGGTATCATATGGATCACGAACTGATATTTGAATATTTCGGTTTCCCAGTGTAAACTGTAGTGAAGTTTCACTTCAAAGTATGTGGTTTACATACGATAAATTCGAGTCTACGATCACGCAGCGTTATTAAAATAGGTCACTTACCCCTGTATCAATTCAACTAATGTATGATGTCTAAGAGTTGGTTTGTAGGGATTTGTTTCGTTTCAAGTTTGACCACGTATTGATATCAGTTAAAGAAAGATTGAAAACCAGTACTGGAATACTGGACAGCTTTTTCATACCCCTAGTTTAGGACTCATCATCGGCACACACCCACCAGCGGGGTTCGAACCACGACCTTCTGGGGACAAGGCAAGCTCGTATGCCATTCAGACACTGGGACCCGACTTAATGGCCCTTAAATTCTAACTTCGCCCCATTGGTGATTTTAGTGTGTGATCATTTTTTTGAAATGGAAATTAATCATACACTACTTGTCAAAAAAGCACAGTCAGTAAGTACTACGTCTAACTGTCATTTGAAATGTCTGCTGTTCTGTTATGCGTATTTATTAAATATTCAAAACAAATTCATAATAACAGGAAAACAGACTCTACAAAAGGCACTGGGGACTGAAAGCCATCAACTTTAATTCGTTGCACAAACTGAAAATAAGGTACATTGGATTTATTGAACTGCTCAACATATGTTAAAATTTCTGGTGCCATCGTGTTTCGTCAAATCTATGGTTCAATTGTGCTTCCACCTGAGCTAGAAATCCTATCCATTATTTTTAAAATAACCCGTTTTTGCTCACGCTTAATATGTATATATATGTCTTGTGAGAGGTAAACTGATAGAATAAACTATGATACCTTTTGTAAATGTCGTATTCGCAATGAGAAATGTACAGTTAAAACTGCGAAATACCCAAATTTTCCTCAGATACCATAGAATAAGAACTCAACCTGTAAAGAAAGTTGTTTTTCAAAGTCTTACAATACTGATGCAAATTTCACCTTTATTTTCTTATAATTTATCGTGAATTTCTTAATTGATATTATTCCAAAATTGGTAACCAAAATCACCTCAGTGAAATATATTCACACCGACAATATGTATGTGTCTTACTATAATGGATTTATTCTTATCAGATGTCAATTTTTGCGTGCCGAAGAGACTTTGTTTAAAAAATATATACATATATATATAAAAGAAAAGTCACCACTGTGTTCAATAAAATATCTCATGGCCTACTCATCATTTTAATGTATTCAAGGTATGGAAACGTTTCGACAAAGACAGGAGTGGATATATTGAAGCAGATGAATTGAAGGTGAGTTACACGAAATTATCTAATGATCATAATTTTTAGTTTTTATTGAAGTAAACACACACAGACATGATATAAACTTTTCCACACATGAAACTAGAAAATTCTAGCTCAAATCAAAATCTCATACTTGTGATCCTCTTCATAAATTTAGATAAAGAAACAAAGACCAGATTTGCAGTATAAACTGATGTGATCATTCTATCTCATAGGATCTCATCAGCTGCTGCAAGCTACCTGAAATTACAATCGTTATAAACACAATGACAGTAAGATACTTCGGTGTTTGAATGTTAGTACAGAAAATACTGTAAAACTGGAGCATGGGAAATGTAAGCATTACAGTTGGATTTAGTTTAAGTTACCATCAATTTATATGCTTTCAAAATAGAAAAAGGAAGAGAAAATTGAGGAGAAGATTGAAAAAACGGAAAAATCTAATGAGCAAAGTTATCTTGTAGGTTTACAGAGCAACTCAAGAAGGTTATAGTTCATAAAATTGAAAACTTGCTCACTGAGCTGAAATCACTAATATAGATGACTAATCAGTATGTAATGAAAATGCAGTTACCAAGGGAGTGAAAGATTGATTACACTCTCTTTCTGTATGCTGTTTTGTTTGGTTTGAAACTCTTGATTGTAATTGCTTCAGCAAATCAAATAGTAATTTTTCTTTACTATAAGTTTATAAGTTTAATATTTTGAAGAATTTGGAAATCTTGACGAAATAATCCCCATTGATGAGATGTCTAGTAATTGCACTTTGTGTGAATATCTGCTTCCTTGGGTTATGCTCTGAAAACCGGATAGAAGCCCTTCTTTCTCTCCTTCATCAATCTAACTGCTTTCCAAGCGTGTAAGTTGTTGCAACTTAGACCGTTAGGTAACCGGGCAACCGTTTATACGAAACTGGAATTCGTCGACGTGATACACTTGCTTTTTAAGGCGGAACATGGGTATTACTGAATGTGCCGACGATTCCCTCCATGAAACAACAAGAAGAAATGAAGCGTGGCTTGAAACTTCACCATTATTCAAGTCCATTATTCCACAAAAGACTTACAGTTCCCCTGACCTTGCAAAGATCGAATTTCACACCGACATCTTATCAAATGAAAATTCGGTAATACAGTTTTCGTGAAGTGATTTCTTCAAATAAGTTCGCTTATAAACAGTGAGGATTCTCCGAAACTGTTAATGTTATTCAGGCATCTCTATTTGTCACTTACATAACCATATTCATCATTCGAGCTATTAAAGCTGCTGAACTACTTAGTTTCTAGGTTAATTTGCAATTCCCAATGATACTGGTCCCTGTTGACACCTTGGCTCCGATTAAGGTACAGTATAATCAGTTAGTGATAAATGCAAATCAACCCAAAAACGAATAATAACTAACTTCCTTTGCAAAAGAGATGGATTTCGTGGTTACTATGACCTAATGGATAACGCCCCAGCATTTGAACCGATGGGTGCAAGGTTCAAGTCTCAGTTGGAGCATTATCATTGGGGCTGCGTGCACTTCCGGCTGATGAGTCCAAACAGGCACTACTGAGCACTCTGGATTCCACTGCTAGTCACCACTGACCGAAGACTATTCGAAAAAGCACTTAAGAAGAATGGCTTACCACAGAAAACTGATCAGATCCCTTTATGAAGCCAAAAATATCTGAATTCCTAATACACCTGGAATAAAACAGAGAAAGCAATGACTATGAGAAAAACAGGTAGAACCTATAGTTAAAACTCTGAGTGACTGTGTGTGTGTCTATGACGAAACAATAGTGTTATGAGTAGTGTTCATTAGACAGGAAAACAAAAGAAGTTTTGAAGATTTAACGCTACTTACTAATTTTCCTGTGAGTGGGTTTGATGCAATTAATTCATTTTTTTACTCCTTCGTAATTTTAAAAGTTTACCCGCTTGTAAAATTGGTGAGTGAAAATTTTCTTTTTTTGTAACAAATAAGAGCTGATCCACTTAAGTTTACGGTATTTTAAATAATCTCTGAAGCGAAAAGGAAACTTATTCACTGTATGCTAGTTGTTGGCTGGATAAGTTGCCGTCTTAAACTAAAATGACCACAGGTGAAAAGGATAATGTAGTGAAAATTGAAAGAAACAGACGAAGGGTATGGAGTGATCAGCTGCCTCATCATTGCGTCTTACAGAGAAGAGACAGTACTGTTCTCAGGATATTTACTGCAAGCTCTTTGTGTAATTTAAAGGTCACTGAAATGAAAGTGATGAGGAATTTCCTGGAAGTAGCAGAGTCATTAACCAAACCCTTATACCTCTTTACCCCTCACCCAACCTCAGATCTTCACCAGTCTTACTACCATCTAAGTGAAGTGTAGGCCGGAAATCAAACTCCGGACGACGTGTGTGACTACTGACGCAACAAGGCTCATTGTTCACCGTTTATCTATTAGGTGTCCCCAAAACCGGCTTCACAAAGCGTATATCGCATTCACCTTTTGCATAGGTGCTCATGTTCAGCGAAATCATATCATGTAGTTTAAACTGGTTTCCAGCCTCCTCTGTCTCAGTCGTGGTCTTCATTTTTTGATTTTTACGCACCGTGGGTAAAGAATAACAGTAATATAGCATAAAGTGCCTACAATGTCTTAAATTTATTAGCTAAATAATTAAAGGTTAATGACATAGGCTAAGTAAGAAGAATAGGAACGAATTGTCCTTAAAAATATGATAAAATCTCCAATCTTTAATTAAATTCATGAACTTTATAAATTACAAAATGTGTTCAACAAGTTCATTAGGAGGCAACAGGAAGATTTTTCCATACTGGCTGTAGACCACTAGCAAAATACTTCTCTACCAGCACTGTGGCATACTGAATGAAATAAGATAACTTACTGATGAAAGTCAGACGCAACAGTAGTCAAGAGTACTTCAAATATCTTAGTTATATGTTCCACAATTTATCTCTATTTTCAGTTGTGAAGCAGATATGTAACATTTTAGACCCACATGAAAGCATTCTGGATATAAAATACGGTTTTCAGACGCACACTGAGTTCACCTTATGTTTTTTGGAGTGACTGTGTGACACATCCTTTTTTTCAAAATAGAGCTATCTACCTTATCAAATGGGTATTAGGGTGTTTCAATAAATAGGCCAAAATCTACCAGCATGATTTCATCAAAAATCAATAATATACGTTTAACTTTTGAACTCACTGCCTCAATTTAATCCACCACATCGCACAGATATCAGTATCTTTTTCTTGTATTATTTAGTTATATCTGTGAAAGTTGTTAGGAAGTAATTGAGCAAGTTTGTTAGTTATAAATGAACGTCACAAAGAGGTGTTAATTAGTACGTTTGTGAAAACTGTCGGTCAAACACCAGAATCATGAGGTTACTACTCATCATGGTTCTTCTGCCAGCTGCACAACTAATCAGCTAATCTCCCATTTGAATGTACACTTTAAGGAATATAAAAATTCACCAAAGCCGGGTAAAACAATACCCAGGATATTTCTTGCCCAACTTTTCTATTTTTATAATGCTGTTCAACATTTATTAATAAAGTGCAAACAAAGTGAATTTTAAATTTGTGCACTGTTTTTTATATTTTTTTTACATTTCAAACGCTACATCCATTGAATGCATATGATAACAAATGACTGTGTTGAACATTGAATAAATGTGCATATATACATTTACATACGTACAAAGTCATTCCTGCTTCACTTGCTTAAAGAAGCTAAACCGGATACGAATATTGAAGAAGGAAAACTAATAGAGTATACATCATCCATAGTAAGTTCCTTTTTTCTTTTTGAGTTGTGCTGTTGTGATGTTTATTAAAAGATAAATGTTGGTGCTTTAATTCGAGATCCAGTGGTGAAAAACTTGAAAAAGAGAACAAACAGAAAGTGATTCTTATTTTTCTATTCTGTAACTTCAAAAGTACAGAATAAGCCTATAGCTCCACTCATAGGTTATGTAGTGTACGTAAGCCGGAGACAAATTTCCAGCGCTGTCTTATTCCATAATAATTATTAAAGTGAGAGATAAATTTACCCATAAAACCAAAACTACTAAAATCTAAACGGGATGCTAAGGTTCTCGCTGATATGGTGTTCACTGGTATATCGTTGTTAGATGGTCAAAGGCAATCGGCAGGAAGCCTTAGATCCAGGTCTCGTTTCTTAGATCTTGAAGGAACCCATGTTTCTTCTGAGATTCTAATCCAGGTTACCCAGCACCACAGTCAAAGACATTACCACTTAGCTATTCGGGCTCGCGATTCACCTCCTGTAGGACCATAATGGATACTTTGGTTGGACATGAAATAGTAGTTCGTTTTAGACTTCTAATCCTTCTTTTCGTGCTAACTGAACTCTGTCAGTCAAGACACCCCCCTAGGTGGCTGACTGTCACGGTGCAGTATGTCCAACGTTTCCTGCCGATTGCTTCCAACTGTCTAATAGCAATAACTCAGAGTATAGCGTGGTGGTATGACATCACCTACCACCTAGTGTCCACTCAAAGAACCACTGAAGAATAAATTAACAAAACCTTATAGACAACATGTTGAAGTATAAGCAAAAACAAAATTTCGATGGAGTAAAATCTTTTTAATTCTGTATTTGACTGACGTTGGCTAACTGTGGAATCTCGAACACTCAATTAATAGTTGGTAATTTTGTCCTCACTAATATCCGAAAGCGACACTCAGTGTTTCAAACAAATTAACAGCGATATAACCACAACGTATCTTGAAAGCATCTGAGCCGAAATGCGATATGTCAGTAGAAACCGAAACTGTTCATCATATTTTGATTTGACACTAGTAACTAGTGTGATGCGTCTAGTCCTCTCTTTGGTGCAGACTGAATTCTATCAATCAGGTTGTAATGTGGCCACCATTCTAGGTAGCTCGCCATCACGGTGTACATTGTTTGTGATGATATTAGATGGTTGGAGGAAATCGGCAGGAAGCCTTGGACCTGGACGCGGGTTCGAATCTCAGAAGTGACATGAGTTCCTTCAAGGTTGCAGATACACCTTGCTGAAGAGTGCCAACTAGCACGAAACCTAGGTCCAAGGCTTCCTGCCGATTGCCTCCAACCATCTTATACTGTCCATCATACTCATCAACAGCATACAAGTGTGAATTGCAATCACTGCTCTACTTTCGATCCATCAAACATTTCGTATAGTTGTTGTTTCGGTCAGGCAACAGATATCTGAAATCCACTTTGCTTTGCAGAATACATTAATCTAAGTGTTTTAATACTACTAGCGGTTAGACTGATGACGTTTTGTCCTTCTGATATGCTAAAAAACACACGCTCTATCAGAAATCCAAGACAATATCTAACGTGAATGCTTCACGCTATTGAAAAAATGAAACTTTCTGAATCACATGAACATGATTTATTTTCTAAATGAAATAATTTTCTTTTTGATACACTACTAACTACACTGACACACGCGAAAAATTCGAAAAGTTTTATTTCGAAAAATTATTGAAATTAAGGACACGCTGTGAGAGAAAGAATACCATATGAAATACTAGTTATTGCTGTGAGTCTGTATCGTCCAGTCGATGAAACACACTTTAAATTAAACTCATATAGCAGTAGGAAGGTTAAAAAAACCTACTTTCAAACACGAAAATTTAAGATGAATTTATTACTAGTTAGTTCTGATATTTTTCTTTCCGTTTCTAGAAAGAGACCTTTAAAGGAGATCAGTTAGGTTAGGTAACAGGATTAAAATGTTAAATGATGTTAAAATGAACACATAGGGACGAGAAAAGTGGCTTGCCTTTTCCTCGTACAGGAATTTATAACAGTAATAATAATACAAAGTTCAGACTGAAGGTGTATCATCCCATCCTGATGGTAATCGAGTGGACAGTTGTAAGGAATAGTGAAAATGTAAGTCAATAAACTCAGGAAATTCGCAAAAAATACCCATTAAAACATTGAAATAAGAACAAATTAGTTCAGCGAAGAGTCTCTTTTCGGTGAATTCATTCACTTAGCTGTACAGTCGCAAATATATATACAATTATTTTGTATGTTTGTGTACATTACGTTTGTCAAAATCAAAATAGCAGTTAGTGTGGGTTGTTGATTACATCATCAAAATAATAAAGAAATTAAAATGTGTGATTAATAATCAAAGTTGTAACTAAGTGGGGTGAAGATTGGTAAGATGTGAGTAGGGTTACGTAATATAGACATGTTTAGAAAGATTAGATGTCAGTGAAGGAGTATGGAGACAATTATGAAAATAAACTAGATCATAGGTGAAAAGATTGAATGGGTTGGTTACTAAAAATTATTTTACGAAGATTGCAAAAAAGAAATTTGATAACAAAATGTTGATGACAGATAAACTTGAAATTAAACCCACGGTAATAGGAGGGGGTGGAGAAGTTTCTTCTGTGTGCATAAATCAGGCTTTTCTATCCAAATTGCTAAGGCTTCGGCAATGCAAAGTATACGGAAGCTTGTCGATTTTGGAAGGCTTCTTTTGACCTTATAGATGACTTTGAACAACTTCTCCTTGCAAATCGAATGACCAGTGTTGAGTATATGCTCAATAATGGCGCTCCTTATTGCTCCGTTGTCACCTTTCCGTAGCCAGGCGGGATAGTGTTCTTGAACTCTTTTAGATGAAACTCTCATCGAACGACCTATATACTTCGCTCCGCAAGAGCAGGTGAATTGGTAGATACACATGGAAGTGGTCAAATGCGATAGTTTATCTTTAGAGGGAAAATGTCAGTCGTAGTGTGGCAGCGAAGAATGTCCTTCTGAGAGCAGTAGATGTCCTCTTCTTCAAGGTGTCAGCCAGAAGGTCACCTTTGAAGGGTACATTCATGTAGACCATCTTCTTCTGCACTGTAATGGGTTGTTCTTTGTAAGTCTTAGGCTTAATATGCTTGTCTATAAAACGAGATGGGTAGCCATTCTCGAGCAGTGTCTTCCTTAAGAGGGCGGTCTCTTCCTCTATTGATTTAGGACTGCAGATTTTTCGGATTCTAGTCGCCAGAGATATCATCAAGTTTCTCTTGCGACTAATTGGTACCCAACTGTAGAAGTTTGTCAACTGACCGTTCCATGTAGGTTTTCTGTGTACTGATCTACTGTAGAAGTTTGTCAACTCAGGAAAGACATCAAAACACTATATTAGATTTTAGGTTGACAATTCAATTTGAGGAATAGGAATACAAAGTTCGGTGAAGGGTCTCTCTTCAGTGAATTCATTCACTTGGCTGTACAACTGCAACTGTAAATAATCATTTTTGTATGTGTGTGCACATAACACAAGCGTAAAACATTATTAGTTCAGAGTATGGTCTGCATCATCAGAATGTTTCAAAAACGTAACTAATGGGTTGAAGATTAGTAAGTTCAGAGTAAGAATGAGTAACATGAAAAATGACCAGGAAAATTGAATTTTAATGAATGAGCAGGAAAAGTAGTATTAATAACAAAATACTGATTTCAGCTGAGCTGGGAATTATACCCAAGCTAGAAGGAGTGAATGCAGAAGTCTCTTCAGAATACACAAATCAAGATTTTCCATTCGAATCGCTAAGGCCTCTGCAATACTAAGTATACAGAAGCCTACCACTTTTGGCAGGCATCTTTTGACTTTGTATTTAACTCTGAATGAATTCTCCTTGAAAATTCAGTGTTCAGTTATGAATATATGTTGAATTATAGCACTCCTTACTGACCTATTATGACCTTTCTCTGACCAAGTTGAATAGCGTTCTTTGACTCTTTTAGATAAAAACACGCACTGAACGACCTATATATCTCACTCAACAAGAGTAGGTGAAGTGGTGTATACACACAAAAGTGATCAGATGTGATAAATTCTATCTGGAGTTACTGCAGAACATTGGGTGGCAAGAGAATACGATTCTTAATAGAGCAGCAAAGAATGTTCTTTTCAGGGCGTTTGACATTCCCCGTTTTACAGTGTTGGCCAGAAATTCACCTTTGAACGCCATATTCATGAATAACATCTTCTTAGACATCAAGACGGGGTTTTCTCAATTGGTTTTGGATCTTGTGTGTATCTATGAAGCGTGTTTTCCTCGGAGGTATGATGTCTATACCTACCGACTTAGAACTGAAGATTCTTCGCATGAGATATTTTTAGGTTTTGCTTGCAATTTGTGGGCATACAGCTGCAAAACGAGAACGAATTCGACAGAAATATCTCTTCGCTAAACTGTCTATGTTTGGATGGATATTTTCCTTGAAACTTTAAGAAACCATCTTTCCTGAAGTCTTTTTCACCAAATGGAAAGCATGGTTGCATTTTACCTAGATCTGTGTAGTTTGCAAATAACAAACTCCACTATATGTGCTGTCAGTTTGTTCAAATACCTAACCACATTTCAGGTAGCCTTAAATATGTGGATTTGTTGAACGCCATATATTCAACTTTCTTCTAAGCATACTTCAGCACTTGAGGCTGAACAATTTAGCAGAACAACTCATCGTCTGAACACTGCTGAGAAACACTGAATTTAGATGTTAATAATGATAGCAATAATAATAATAATGGTAATAACAATAAATTCTTCGCACATTACCGCATATACTAAAAAGAAGAGATGAACTCGAACAACTTTAAAGCCATTAGTCGAAAGACTTATCCCTTTGTCTTCATTGCTGACTAAAAAAGCATCTGCTCAAATTTGTTTAAAACAAATTCAACCCCATAATTGTCAGTGTGTGAGAGAGAAGGAGAGAGAGACAGAGAGAAGGTGAGGATGAGTGAGTGCGATAGAGAAGAAGACGAAAACGAAGAAGAAGAATAAAAGCGATGATGAATATTTTTCTGAGTAGAATAAACAAAATTATACAAATTACCGGACAAAAGTTTCTCTTTAATGAAGCGATAAATACAAATTTTTACAAATTTTCCCAATTTATTTATCTACGTGACGCTTATTGCAGAAATGTTAATGTTATTTTTCTGCATTTTTCTGGCTTATTCACGCGTTCATTCATTCACTCACTTATTTATGTTTGTCTTTGTGTTTATTCCTATCTCCTTTTTTCTTATTGGCATGTGACTTAAACATCTCACCTCCATTTTCCACAGCTTCAATTATTCGATCAGAACAAAGATGGCAAATTACAACTGAGTGAAATGGCCAGGTGGGTGGATGGGTCTTTGGTATCTTTGAGTCTTTCATCAATTGTTTAATTAACTCACAGTCAACTTTATTTTTAAACATCTGGTTAGGAAATAACTCAATAAATGATGTTAATTTTAGATGGTTATAATGAAGTTTGTATGTAGCTGTGAAATTGGATTTACACTCTATTAACACTCGCTAGCAAGGCGTATCCACACAGCTTGGTGCTGTATTTAGAGATGTTATCACGACTGACCTCTTGTAGAACTGTGATGCACTCACTGGTTGGTGACTAGGGAGCACTAAGGGCTTCAGATACACGACACTGGTTACTCCTTAATAATGAATCAGTGTACACTTATCCTACAGTTACTAAATGCGCCCTCCTCTGAACAGTGCGATACATACTACTGATTATCAGCAGTTGGGAAGTACCCATGTCAATTTCAAGTGCTTACCAGACATATCAAGCTGACTGAAATACCATTTCAGCAGCCTGTGGAGTAGCTTGTCAGAGACCTTGTCAGACTGACCCAAATCAGAGGGCTGGGCAGATTTAAAACATGAGAATTTCAGCTAGCTGCAAGTTCGTAGTGTGAATAATTTGAAGGTTATCTGAAGCGTTCCACAATACGCAGTTGGAGGTGAGATTTCACCACAGTTTCCTCAGGAAAATCAAAATATTTGGTTTTCAGTAAATAATGCGCGAGACCACAAACAGTATTAGAAAGACAAACAGATATGGGTTATAAAGTACACTATTTGTCTCTGTAGTTACTTGGGAACCACTAATTCGGCGCTTGAGTGATCACCAGTTCATCTAAACATCATAAAAATAGTGGTTTCTCAAACGTTTTCTTTTCAAGATTTTGATAAAAACCACACTTTAATTTAAGTTTACTTCGATCGGGCAGTTTTTCTTTAAAATGACCCAGGAGTTCTAATAAGCAGTAGTAAGATTTGAAGTTGTATGTTATTTAAGCCTTGTAATCAACTAACTGTGGTGGAATCCAAGGGGTAGAAGGTAAAGAATACAGAATGAATATAGGCATTTCGGCCCAGTAAACGATTTCACTTTCAGTAATAATACTAATAATATTCATTTTATTCCAACCAACAGCTTATCTTACAGAATGGAATTTTCAGCATTTCAACATATTCACACAATTTATCCCCTTTTACGCATAAATGACACAAAATAGTAAAAACATTAAAACCTCAAAAACTGAGAGTTAGTGGAAGAATAATATATGTAATAATAATAATAATAAGACTCTGGTTACAATTTACTATTTATTTACTGATTTAAGTAGTTTAGAAGCCTTTTCTGACAATGACCTCTTCATATAAAACCCGTGCTATTGAATTTCTATATTTTGCTGTATGAGGGTATATTCTTATGAAGTTTCTTGTGGTTTTACTCCGAAGAGATACAAAGGAAGGGTTTCGAATAAAGAGAATATTCAGTACCAGAAAAGTTGACTAGCGAACTGCTTACAAGGATTAAAATGCCTATCCTTAACAATGCCAGTTAGTGGAGTCAAAGGCATATCACAAACCTAAAATACAGCCTTCAGTGTTCTGCGTAATATGATGTAGACTTCTTTGAGAAGTCTAGGGAGGAATAAACGAGGAGATAGTAAAGAAGAATGAGCAGAATAAACCAATTAATAAATTGTAAGAGAAGAGATTGAGTAATGCCAGCAGAAAGTTAGACGAAAACGTTTCCTAGAAGTCAACAAGACATGAAGCAAATAACAAAGATTTGAAGAGAAACTGATGCAATGATTAGTAATGTTCAATTTGTTTCCTATCACTGAACCGAATTAGTCCACACAAGTCTTGTTCGCATCTGAAACTAAGAACATTTAAGCAAGAAACTATCGTTACCAGAACAACGGAATACAGAAACAACCAGGACGGAAATTGTCAGACCATTAGTATATTTAGTGAAATTAGTTTTAGAAGAATACGGCAGTGGAGCGCTTCCCAATGAAAACAGTGTGTCTTTTCCCAGCTTAGAACTCATTGTCATCACTTATAGGATAAGAAGATAAGGAAATGACTGCTAATTTTAACCGAAAAGCTTCCGCATAAAATGCCTACAAAGACTTAAAAGTAAAACAGATTGTCGATCCAATCACATTTTATTCTAGCTCCAAGGTAATTCCGCTTTTCAGAAAACATAAAGCTGGTCACACTATCTTCTCTAGTCAAAGATTCGGATAAGATTCAACTAATGAATTTTAAATAACTGAATGCAGCCCTAAGCTTTTTAAGCCTGTCTTTCAATAAAATTACAAATGAAAGCTGAAACTGAATACTCATGTCTTAGGTTAGACTTCTTTACAAGCTGTCATCAGTACCCGGTTCTCCATTTGATAAAATCTCCACTGAAAGCATCCAAATCCCTGAAAACCTAAAGCATGCTTTAGTCAAACAAATCCCCATTAAGGAATGCCTTTGTTTACATATCATAGTGAATACTGTATATTTTTTTTAGAATATTTGGTTTGTACTGTACAGTCTTCATCCCTCACCCCCACGAGATCTTCCTCACACATGACAGTCGATGAATAATTAAATATCTGAATGTCAAGCACCGCTAATTGCAGTTTTCTTTAGAACAAAGCGATTTCCGCCTTGCCGATTCTTATCTACTGATAGATAAATCTCTATGATTACGTTGTTTTTTTGGCAGAATATTTCGGAAATATGATTAACTTTATGTCAAGATGAGTTAGACCGAAAATCCACTAAACTGTTGGACTAAGTAAAAAATTGTATAGCACTACATTTTCCTACTCTTTATGACTAGTATAAGCATTATAGTAATCATTCTGCAATTGTGACTGGAACTTGCTATTAGGTTATTTTGTTTGAAAGTATTGGGTTACAGATATCAAAATATCGAAATTTCTGGCTTAAATAAATTTTAAACTAAGTAACTTAAATATCCCAGTTGAATCGCATAAAATAACAGCCATTCAGCGATATCAATCTCAAGCAGTACAACTGCATGTATGTATATATCCATTAAATTATCTTAACAGCCAAAGGAATGTTCCCGAAGACATGTCATTAGAACTGTAGGTTTAAGGTAGTGGTCGCGCAGTACAAAAAGCGTCAGTCTGTTAGAAATCATTCCATTCTTTTACGTTCTGAGTGGAACACAGAGCTTCAACTTTGACCTCTGAAGTTGCAGTAGCATCGGTTTTATTTTTGCGGGATGGGGTGTTAGCCCGACTTCCAAACTTCTCTCTTTACCGGCCTTACTACCAGCTTAGCAAGGTGAAAGAGGAAGTCAGTGGCCGAAAATTGAACCCCGGGCCAACACAAAATCAGTTAGAAACTACAATAAAATTCAATAAGTAAACTGCATGACGCATTCTAACTGACGGGAATGAGTAGGACTCAACTAAAATCAGAAGAGAGTCAAGTTGAGAACAGTAATAATAATAATAATAAGTAGAAAGGTAGTGATGAAAAGGATTGGAAAATAATACAAGTAAAAAACAAAACACTACGTATCCCGTATTGAGACAGATTAGGTTCATTGTAGGTTCAGTACTTGAACAATTCCTGCTGTAAGCAGAGTTTAGGATTTAACATGCAGGTGAATTGCCATCGCTTCTGTGGTCTGAAGAAGTTCGTTTCGTACTCCTTTAGTCAAATCCCATGTATTCTGTAAATTGCCTTGGAGTTGCTTTGCCGGTTCGTTTGTTATCTAGATTCGATTAGGTGTTCCAGAATAGAGCTGTGGGTGAGGGATCTTCTTTCTCCTTTTTTAAACCATGAAGGTAACTGCTCAGTGATGCATTCAGATAGCAAACTACCCGGACTTTTAAAGTGGAGAACAGCACAATCTTTAATTTGATAGCTTTATATGACTAGTCATCAACTGTGTGGAAGTAGATCTATTTTTAAATGATATCAGTAGTCATCTTCCGCGTTTGTGTAGTTCTAAAGAATTTCTAAAATCACCTTCTTGCTTCTGTCATACATACAACCTCGTCATTCACTTGCATAAACGATCATAAAGCAGAAAAAAATCACCTAATATAAGAAATATTAAATCTGATTTTTTGTTTTAACCATCTTTTTCTCGTCAGATTGTTACCCGTTAAAGAAAATTATCTGTGCAGACCAATTTTCAAGGTGAGTTTTCTTTTATCTCCATTAGCAACGTCAACGTCATTACTAAGCTGCAGAATTATTGATGCGTGTTATTGATAGTTTTATCCCCCAATGTATAAGATACATTCATAGGCATATATACCGACTCCATTAGTACTCTTTTTTTTCTAAAATGAATTGATTTGATGGGCGCCTAACTGCAATTTTCTAAACTTTAGACAATCGATAGTTTAAGATCACGATTAACCCGCTTTCCTTTTTTTTTACGAAGAAGTGCTGTGTACTAGGAAAAACGTTTAACACATAAGTTGTGTATGCGTAAATGATCTGAAAATCCCTTCATGCACGATCTGTGGACAAAACTGATACTTGTTAGAATATTTGAGACTATCATCCCCTTTTCTTCTAACCTGAACATTATCGTTCTAGCATTTGGATATCTTCTAACGACTTTATCCTTGTAATTTGTCTTTGTTTTTGGTTGATTCCTCGACGGGCAACGCCAGCTAACATAGGATGAATCAGGTTAGAAAAGAGTTAGTGCTGGTCAAACCGAAACATAGCTTCATCAGTCAATGAAGCCCATAACAACAATTAGTTTAAGTCAGTCAGGCAGTCAAGCACGCAGGGAGGTATAGACTGCCTGACTGGTTGGGGTCCCCGAGATGTTAAGAACAAAAAAAGGCTGGAGACAATTGATGATATGGCTCAAAATCGTTCTGGATGAAGGCGCGTATGCATTCACTCTTTGCGATTTGTTATATCCAATAAAACCCTATTGTTCTTCCATAGTACTATTATTCTTTTTTCTTCACACTATTGTATATTATCTGTCTTTTGAATCTCTCCTTACTCTCTTCTGTTGCTTTCTGTGCTACAAGGTACACGTCTGTGCAACAAAATTCTATGCTGAAACCAGTCAGTCAGTGATCCCTTAACTTGCAGCTTCTCTTTGCTTCTGTGCGATGGTTTTGATAATAATGTGTTCTTTCATGACTGTCATAGTTACTCCGTGGAGTGAGGTCTTCACCTTGCACCGTCTCCTGTAAACGTGTTTGTTCTGTTCCAATCTCACAGACAGAGTTTCGATCTCACCTTGTTTGGAATATCCTTGTTGATTCTTAGTTATTTTATGGCTGTGTCTCGTCAGTTAATTTTGTTGGAAAGTTCGCATTTCGTACCTGAGAAGCTTTGGGATTGTATAGTTGGGGGATGCCATTGTTGAATAATTTTTTTATGCCGGATATAAGTCATTATTCTTTCGTAGATTCTATCACTTGAAGCGCGTTTGGATATTGCTGGAATATAATTTTCAACTTTGCATGACTTGTGGAAGTTTGGCCAACAGCTTTACATGAGAACAGATTGATTAGTTTCATGCTTCCATGCTCAAATACATGAGTTTCGCTCATTATATAAACGTTTAAACTGTTTTCTCACTTTAAAGTCGACTTAAGCTAATATTCTCGCTTTAATAAATTATATTTCTCTTGGTCACAGAACGCTTCGAAGATAACATCGGCTGATATTGATCGTGCATTTTCACTTTATGATCTGGTAAGTAAACATATATGAAAGTCAATGTCTTTGATGTGTGTGTATGTGGTTATGGTAACGTTCCTAACGTATCGTCATTTTCCTTTTGATATGAGAATATATTACAATTTTAATTTACCCGCCAATTCAAAACCTCTTGAACGTCACGATACTTTGTTGAAGAAAGCTTTAGTTTTTTATTCAAAAGTGGTAACTTTGCTAATTCAAGATGAAGTATTCAGTAAGCATAGCATTCGATATGTTTAACAAAGACCTTCAACAGTATGTATATGGGACTGTTTTGACACAATGCGGCATCTTTATTACAGGGGGAAATTAAATTCTTTCCTGACATATAAAAGCATAAAACGTGTCAGTAAATGACATTAGTTGCCACTGAATGATATTACTTATTTATTTTCAGCCTCAATAACATAAAAAAACCTACAGTAGACAGAATGCATTATGAGTGATGTGACATAAAACCAGAAATCTGTGAAAAACACACAAATGCTTTCGAATTTTCTGTTAAATGGATGGAAGAAATCTGAAGGAATCCTTGGACCTAGGTATCATACTTTTTGGCATTCATCAACAAGACGTATATGCAATCTTGAAGGAACTCAACCTTTCTTAGATTTAAACCAGGATCACTCAGTGCTGCACCGATACTAAGGACTAGATACATGATATTAGTTACTGCTTATTGTCTAGTTAAAGTATTCAGTACAGTCCTAAGGGAGGTCAGTCGTCAGTCTGAATAGCTCAGTGATAACGTCACTGGTTGCAGCACTGGGTGACGTGGGTTCTCATCTTAGAAAGATAATCAGTCGTTTCGCGGTAACAAGGTCAACAAGCACAAAGCTAAGTCAAAGGCTTTCTGCTGATTGCTTCCAACCATACAATATGAATTCAGAGTGCGCCGTTTTGGCGAACCGCCCTGTATGATGGCTGAAACTATAATGTGTCCATATTTAGTCAACCACTTATCTGTTAGAGAATATTGCTTCTACTCAGTTCTTTAAGATAACATCATCTGTAGTAATGAAGGGATCATCTGCTCTTATCAAATACACGATGTAAAATAAAATGGTACTTATTACAACACTGGTTAGGGGAACACGTTACCTTTCATAATTGCGCATGAATGAACAGAAGAGACACGTCATGACTATAATTACTCAGAAGAGCTTTAGACCGTAAACATTTAAACATTCTTAATGTTAATTTAATTAATAATCAAAATAAAACTTAGTAATGATTCGTAAACTTATCAAAAGTTAAGCAGATATTCATGAGTTCACTAGATGCACATATAGAAAGCCTTAATTATCTACAAATAAAATTGTTTTCAAACTGTAGGACTAAAGTTGAATTAAGATTTCTATCTTATATCATCTAGCAGACTTTCATTAAGTAAGGTTCATAACAAAGGAAATACATTGTGCAAAAGCTTCTCCGTAGTGTTACGCATAGTGTGCCAACCTTTAACAACTTCAGAAAGGCAGTATTGTCTGTATCAGGAGTCTGATAAGTAAACACCTTGTTAACACTGGTCATTCCATCTCAACGAACGCATTATTCAAAGTAATCTACCAGTTAAAGGCAATACGCCCTTGACTCCTCTGCACTGCTAAAGCTCCAGCCATTCAAATAAAGAAACCGGAGTTCTGTATAGAAAAGAAAATAATTCAACCAGTTCTCCCATGGTGGTAACAACCTTGTTGAAATCTACTAACTTGGTTCTTTGTTTGTATCTTAACGATCTGTAACTTTTGCATCTCTTTAGAACTGTCGAGTAATTTCATAGTTTCCTTTGTTTCTGAATGCATCCTGATTAACACTCACCCATTAAATTATTCACCTTCTTGTGTAACTCCGATACACTTGTTCAACTCCTCCTATGCACTGACTAATATTAACGAATACTCCCATAGTTTACTCAGAACTAAGTTAGTCAGTGTGCACAACTGTTTTGAATGAATCCTTCCCTCCTCAGGATGTACAATTATAAATTCATTAATTTAAGTGTACAACAGCCAGTAAAGGTAAACTAGAACTATTGTATCAGAAAGTGTTTTGTGGAACAAGTACAAGATGGAATAATATACAGTCAGTTTTGATTATCATTTAGAATATGTATAGTCAGTTAGACCATGAGGTGAAGTCGGATGAAGTAATTCATTGATATGTATATAGAAGTTAATTGGTGGATCATGATTAGCAGTGGAATCCAGGATAAAGCATATTTCGTCCTATTTTGGACTCGTCAACTGGATGTGCCTCCGTTCCGCAGTGAGTGGTGATGTTCTCACCGAGGCTCGAACCCAATGCCCATAGTTTCAAACGCCAAAGCGTTATCCACTAGATCACTTGAGCCACGAGATCCACCTCTTGTGCAACGGGTCATATTAACTATTTAATTCAACTTTAGATGGCTAGTCACCATCCACCAATTAACTTATAATTACATGCCCAGACATCGTCGAAGCAGCTGCACAATGAGCCGAGATTTCAACCTGAGACCGAGCACTTCGGTACAATCAATCGACGGGAAAATCTAAAATTGAATTAGATATGTGTATATACATATAATCAACAAAAGTACAGGTTTCAAGGGTGAGTATGTTCACAGGTGTGTGAGATAAAATGAATACTACAGAGAAGTAGACCCACAAATGGGGTAGACTAGACGTAAGTTCAAGAGTGACAAATAACAATAATAATGATGATGTGGGTAAACATTAAAGTACTATTAGTGAACGACTAACAAATAGTTATGAATTTAGTGAAGTAAAATTAACAGGACTGCGTAAATATAATAATAGGTTTGAAGACCATTTCCTAAACCTAAGGTAATAAAATCATATGAATGATCATGAAGTCGTAAAAGGTCATAAATGAACGTTTATCAGTGAAACAGAGGATTAGAAGAAGAAACATTATAATAGGAATTTAAAGTGCCAATTTTTATGGAGGATATGTTGACCTTATTGTAGGCCGAGGTAAACATAGCATTTGAACACACATCTTCTTCTGTATACAAAGACCCGGTCTTCTGGTACTGATTGCTACCGCTTCAGCTACTGATAGAAGACGTAGTCGAGTTCCTCTAGATAGATTAACAGGGACGCGGTAAGTGACTAAAAGCGTCTGCTCAGGTTTTGTTGAGTGTCCAGTATCGACTAGGTGGGCTGAGACTGCACTATATGCGCCTTTGGTTGCCCCTTTACTCAACCATACAGGTACATGTTTACGTACGCATGGATAAAGCTCTCTCTCTGATATCTGCTGAAAAGATAAGCACAAAATGGGGCTGTAATGTTATACAACTCAGACTAAACTTTCTGAACAAAATTAGAAAGTGACCTTTCGAAAGGCGTAATTAGTAATTTTACTGCCGTGATGCAGATTATGCAAAACTGACCCTGGGTCTCGCGGTGCTGAAGAATAAACTTAATGTTGGGTCGATATGTGTGGAGTCACCTGCTGAAAACTATAAGTTCACTATTGAGTTGAGTGGATATCCTGATAACACACTGACTAAAGAATAAAGTAAGATAAAACTCAGTGCATCAGAGTTATGGTGACTATTCGTGACTCAGCTAGTACTGAGTTAGTGAAGGACAGAAAAACTACTGAGTACGTCTCATAAGTGTTTTAATTTGACATATATATATGCAGGCTGTTCTGATATAAATTGCTCCTGAGTCAATGATTCTACAAACACTTATAGGGGAGTTCTTCACATACTGAGTTATGATTTCTCATCTGATATACATACTGCATTGGTAAGTGTTTGTTAACATAATGGAAAGTATTGATTGGGATGAATTACCTAATATATGCAATGGTATATATATATATTTATTCAGAATCTACTATCTGTTTTCTCTCAAAGGATGCCAACGGGACAATAGAAGATGAAGAACTAGCCGGATTCCTGAAAGATCTGTTGGAATTAGCTCAGGAGGTAAGTGGAATGATTCACACCCGTGAATGAGTTGCTATTCTTATGTAAAAGTAATGTTCAGATTCAGAGTCACTCAATAGATTTGTTTCTGGTTTATTCCCCAGATTTTCAGAGACTTACCATATTTATGATCTAAAAATACAGGGTTATTTAAGGTCCTACTTGGCTGAACTTATGTAAACTGCAGTGCCACAATCTGGTGTCATGATTAGGAAAGGTATTTTTCACCAATCTTCCAGTTTACCTAGCTTTGCATTCCACAAGAATCCACCTCTCATTGTCAACAAACTAGGCCAGATATATGTCCGTCGACATTCCAGCATGCGGACATTTAGGGTAGAAACTATGCAGAGGAGAAAATTGAAATAAATAAATATTACAGAATACGATTCCCGAATATAGCTACTGACTGATTTCCCCGATTTCTGCTTCCCTAATTTTCTCCAGCCTTCAATTTCTAGCAGTCTATTCTCTTTTCACCAAATATGCTCACCACCTTAAGACAGATGATGGCAAGTTATGAGTAGCATATTCCTCAGTTGTTCTTTATTGTAAAAACCTTTTCAGGGATTAGTTTTTAGAGATTTGACTTGTTTCAAGTTTGACTACGGTTTGGTTTTAGTTAAAGAACCATTGAAAACAAGGAAGTGTTGAACAGCTATTTCTTCTTAGTTTAGAATTCATCATCAGTACACACCCACCGGGGTTCGGACCCAGGACCTCCTGTTTACAAGTCAAGCTCGTAGACCATTCAGTCACTAGGATTGGATCCATTGGGAAATGATTTCCAACTTCCACAACCAATTCGTGATTTCAGCTTGACTGGCACCAGGAAATGTCATCGATGGAGAGTGATCTATCCTCACTCCCAACCGCATGGATGGACTCCACTAGAACTCCCTTCAGGCAGCTTCGTCCTGTAGTCATTCACTAACGAACATCAAACGTTAGAAGCCATTATTTGTGGCTTGTGGTAATTAAAAATTAAACATTGGCAGTATCCGCTACACCAACACATGCTAGGAGAGGACTTCGTTGTGGTAAACAATGATGTTGTAAATAAACTTAGCAAAATATGACAAGGTGTAGAATAAACAGCAAATTGTCTACTGTTTCAACATCTGGCACTTCTTTTATTTCTTTTGCGTTCTGAGTGGGACATATGGATTCAAGCTTTGAGCTTCGAAGTTCCAGTAGCAGTAATGTTATTCTTCTTTAAGGGGTGGGGTTGCTAGCCCCACTCCCAACCTTCCATCTTTACTGGTTACACAAGGTTCAGGGGTGAATCGTGCGGATATCGAATCCCAAACCACTTGAGTAGGTGGAAAGCAGTACCATCAACACATTCTTATACCTCTCGTCCCAGAATAATATTGCATCCACCTTGTTACATTTAAAATACATTTAATAAATTATTGTATTCATTATCCTTCAATTAAGTTTGTAGTGCAGTGTTTCATTAGAAATTATCCTAGAGAGAAGATATTATGAATGTTTCATCAAAAAGTTTCGGACTTAAGATGGAAGCATGGCTTCATGTAATAAATTCTGTATTTTTTGTACTGTGACAAACATGGTAGTAACACTAGTCATCTATTGAATCCATTATCCTAACATAACACATCACCATTTCACTCTGTTATCTGCAGTCCTTTCCAGCCGGCTAGTCGATTGCCTCCTCACTCTGTCCTCTCCATATCATTCTCGAACACACGGCTAATTTGTCACTTCCCATTGTGATTCAACTTGACAGCCTATCACCTGATGTCACTCAACGGTTTCCATTTCCTCCTATATATTCGTTGGGCCATAGCCTCTTGATAATTCCGTTGACAGAGTTCCTTGTTGCTAGTTCTTTCTGGCCATCTGGTCAAGCGGAGTGTATGTCTGTTGCAAGAAGTCTGCAACCTACTCAAAATACTTTCGCTGACATGGACCGTAAAGAATCACGGACTTCATATTAGTGTTGAAAGTCCCAATCTCTGTCGTTTATGCTCAGTGCAGTAAATAACCACACTGATTTCAGAATAGTGGAATAACAATCGTAAAATATCAAAAATTAATTCTCAGATCCACTAAAATGATATAGTGTTTACTGGGATAGAAATTCTTTTCATAAATGAAGTTTGACTGTTGAATGTTCATATGAGTGACCCTAGTTGATAAAAAGCAACGTTGAAACCATCATGGAAATGATAATGTGATGCTTTTGATAGGCATTCGGGGAATGAATATGTACCAAAGCCAACCTAGACCCTTGACACTTTTTGTTCACAACCACAGAATGTGAATTCTAGTCGAAATATGAGTACTAAGTCAAGTGTGCACAAACCAGAACAAATACCTGTTAGTCTATGCTTTTTTTTACATTATTAAACAATTAATATTATCTAAAAACTGGAGACTTCGTCTGCTGTATATTTGTTCAACTTTTCAATAGGATTATAGCGCCAAATTTGAGTTTTGGCGACAACCTTAACTACTAGTGACTACTAAATTGTTTCTGGAATAATGTATGAACAACGCGGATTATCTATTCCATCAGTGATTTGATAAATGATACAGTCATTAGGCTATCAGAAGGTTGGTTGAGGTTTAGACACTAAATAAATAAACAAAAACAAAATATTTGAACAATTGTAACAGTCCCAGAAAAACACAGGAAGGTAACGTAGGTGATGCATTTCCATTTAACTGTCTGACTTTTGTTGGGAACAATTTTCAAGTCAAGTAAATAGCTACAAAAATATCCCCATCATTTATGTGGAACACAAAACATTTAGCCTGGACAACTATTTGCAATAAATTCCTCCTTCTTCAGGCTATACGATTATGTATCATTAATTTTAGTATACAATAACCAGCCAGCAAAGGCAAATTAGAACTATATATCAGGGAGTGTATTACAGAACAAATACAAGATTGAGTAATAGTCAGTTAGTCTTGATTATCCTTTAGATTATTTATAGTCAATAAGAACATGAGATAAAATGAGATGAAATCACTCAATGATATGCTTGGAAAATTTTCTAAGCAACAAAAGGAATGTTTAGAAAAAGAACAGACTGAGCGAAGAAGTATATTCCTTCTAAATGCGTAAATGGGAATTTAGAAAAGGAATATTTCCAAAAGATGTCCCATTTCAATTGTAAATTTCAGATCGTAAATTGCGTAATATGGAAGGTGTTAATCGAGTAGAAACTAAAATAAAACGAGTAAACTGAGTGACGTAATATAAGTGACACGGTAGAGTAGAATTCGACTAAAACTGAACAAGAGTCACGTAAGCAATAGTGGTATTAAGGGATAAAAATTTAATAGGACAGGGGGAAGGAATAAAATAATACAATTGAAAAAGACAAAAAACTCAAAATTACATATTTGATTTTAAGATAGATTAGGTCCATTGTAGATTTAGTGACTGAACGAACCACTTCTATACGCAGAGTTAGGGATTTAACAGGTGAATTGCCATTGTTGCTGCGGTTTTAGGAAGTTTGCCTCTTACTGTTTCAGGAAAACTCCCGTGTATTCTGTAGATGACTGTGAAGCTGGTTTGTGGGTTATCCTGGTGTCCAGATTCGATTATGTGTTCCAGGATAGATCTGCGTTGAGGTGATCTTTTTCTCATTTATAAAACCATGAGAGGAAGTGTTTTCTGGTACACTTGGATAGCCAATGGTTGTCACAGCAGACAAACGTAGCCCCACAGGAGCAGGCGAGTTGATAGATACACATCGATGGGGACGGGAGTAGTAACCTATCCTCCACTTCCACGTAAATCATTGGTTTCGTAGAGAAAGTAAGCTGAATTCCTGCTGCGAAGAAGGTTTTCTTCTATGGGCGGGAAAGGTGGTCTTTTAGTATCTCTGCCTACCAGTCTCCACTGAATTGTAGATACAAGTAGACTATGAATATTCTAAATGGTAATGAAGACTAACTGACTACTGCTCCATCTCGTATTTTTCCTATAATACACTCTGTGATATATAGTTCTAATTTGCCTTTACTGGTCGGCTATTGTGTTGTAAAATTAATGGGTTTATAATTTTGTAGAGCCTGAAGAAGATAAATGTTTACTGGTTTTTTCTCTCTGAATTTTATGATAATAAATTAAATATTACCCTCAAATAATAGCATAAATTTACTCACACTGGCTCGTTGTTACTTGCAAGCTGTCAGTGGAAAGAATCACACAAAAGTGGCTGGCTTATCGCTAAAACCTTTTTTAACTACGATTATGACCTTACTTTTTTGTGAATACTACTCATCCCCTTTTCTTTTCACATTTAATCTACAGGACTATGATGAAGCTGATTTAGAATTCTTTAAAAAGGTGATCCTCAACCAATGGGATGTAAATAATGACGGTAAAATTAACCGAGATGAATTGAAAATGATGCTTATGCAACAATCACGACTGTTAGGCGATAAGTCCTAATTCACACTGATTGTTAATACAATAAGAATGCAAGAAGAAAAAGAAAAGAAATGGAACTGGAGAAATTAAGGCATCCATATACCCTACCTCCAACATTTCTGAGAAGTACACTCACTCTCTGTGTTACATAACAAGCTTTAATCTCTTCCTATTTGCGTACTATTTTTATTGTTTTGTTTTTCTCAAGGTTGTTTATCTATTATTTCTAGCATAATAATAACAATTAATATCTTAATACTACAGTTGTGTTTACTTTGAATACACAAAGTAGTTGAACATTTAATTCCAAACACTTGTTTTCTAAACTCATTGTCATTAACTTTACTTGAGAGAAAGAAAGACAGCATGTATCGCCCACTTTTTTTTTCTCTCTGTGTATTGTATAACTTCTCTCTTTTTCATGTTCCAGTCATATTACTTACTCGCTTACTTACTTACTTACTCACTCATTCACTCACTCACTCTTTCAGTCAGTCACTTGCATTCCTAACAGTATTGTAAACTAAGTATGATTTAATATTCATGAGCATTATTCATCATTACTCAAACAGATATCGGTATTCCTTTAATTTCATGAAGAGGAGGATGAGTTTATCCAGAAAAATAGAATGATAAATAAACATTAATTATGTCAATTTACCGCAAAACTGCATCGACTATACCACTACTTCTCCTTCCTCTTCTTGTTCTCCTTTTTCTACCTAACCCATTCATAAGTTCACATAATAACCGTTGACCATCGATGCATATTTTCACCATTATATTTCTTGCTCTTTATTTCCTTTTTAATTAATTTAAAATTATCTGAAGATTTAACTAATATGCAGCCAAAAAATTGGTTTGCCCTTTTTGCATTTCTTTTTCTGTCTATCAAACATTGGAGCTGTGTTTAGGCGGTCGACTGCGTTAGAACTAACATCTGTAATACTGCTTGCCTTCATTTAGCTAAGACCGCCCATTTCCATTTCATCCTGTTTTCTGCAGTCATTTTAAGCTGGCTCCAGGAATCCCCATAAACATCCTTCATACGCCTTCACAAGATTCCCTCCCAGCGAATTCTTAATCTCATGTTGAGGTCCCACTCATTGTCCTGGAGTGCACCAAGTCACTCAGCGGTCATCTCAGCGTGTATCCGATGCGCCTTCATTTTGTTTCGGCATATCTGTTCGCTAGTAGGATACTGATTGGTTCCTCTTCAGGGTTTCTTGGAGCTAATCCTTTTAGGATATCTGAAAATATAGATTATATAGGAACATAGTACCGTGTATAAAAATGAAGGCAAAATAGAAATTTATCTGTGTGAGAGAGGTTTTCGGTCTCAGGCATATCATCAGATAAAGGCTAAGAAACTTGTGAACTACCAGCCAGTGTATGCCTTTCCTCAAAACCTCCGTTCGGCTTGTCCCTTCATAAACGTTGACAAGAAAATGTCTCAGGTATTAATGAAATACTTTTAACGAGCAACATGATAACTGGTGAACCTTTTGTTAATCGAGAAAACTTGTGTAGTCAAAGTTTGAGAAGTGTCTTGCATTAAATGTCACTAATAAAATACGTGAGAATCTGCACAGTATTTGGGTTAACAGAAATTAGACTCATACAGTGAAGCTATTTCTACTGCGGTGGGTACGTACGGATGAAGAGCCAAAGACTAGGAAGAAACTGCTGTTCAATACTTCCAGGTTTTCTAATGCTTATCAAACCAATGTCAGCTCATAATAAAATCCTGTAACCAGTCGTATCAAATCACTACAAACCAACGATTGAATATTCATAATCAAGTTAGTATAGTAAAAGTCGGTAACACATAATCTAGTTAATACAAAATCATGGAGTTGAACACCATTATCAGTTGACGCATAAGTGTAATCCAGATTGGAGACCTCATCTGTAAACTTCTCACTTCATATTTCTCAATATCGTGATGTGAGAGCGAGGATGATCCAGTATCTTCGTTTTCTGTATTTTGTAGCAACATATCGCCCACTGAGGCGGTTACCAGTCAAGTTTCCAAGGGTCATCCTACCAGGACCTTATAAGCTTACTTTTAATTAGATGCATCTCTGCGCACATTTTTGTTCCGGCTCAAAGCATTAAGACAAACTGCTAGGTTATTCAAGTGAATTAGCATTTGTGGCTAAATTCCAGTTAACTCATAATCCTTTGTGCTCTGGATGACTTAGCATGATGTCCTATACCACAACGGCTGCACCTAAATGTTTGTCCATACAGCCACTTGACCCATGTCTCCCTTAAATCATTAAGCCGCATTTCCTGTACCGTCAGTAGTTTATTCCCATTGTCTTATAGATAATGTGTAGCAGGACTAGCATGTCAAATAAATGGACGAGAAATAAATAGCTTGCTTTTGTATCATCAAAGCAACACAGAATGGATTCACTAAAAGATAGATATCCTGTTCTGCAGCTGGAAATAAAAGACAACTCTGGAATAATATATAGTTTGTTCGTGTGACGTAAGAATATGATGAATAGTGCCCAAATCTGATGTGTTGGTAGATTCAAGTCTTTCTTTCAAAACGGATAAGAATACAAACACACCAATTCTGGCCATTTAGTTTATCTGTGTCCTTTAGATATGAAAGTTGAAGCGAAAATATTTTATAACAGAACGAATAATTCGTTCGTGCTTTTTTTCGGAGCTAGCCAATATTGCAAAGTACAAGACTTTCTCATCATTGCGAGAAGATAAGCTCTGGATTTAAGAAGATTAATCACTGGGATTATACAAACTCTTCAGATTTCATCACATGTGAATACAAATAAGTTTTAAACGCTTAGTAAAGTGAACATTACTTAGGTATGATGTCTACAGCTATAACAGACATTGAACTAAGCTCATACATTTGTATACATACGCATTATCATGAAACTAGATTGTATGACTGCATTTTTAGATAAGCTTGGATTGACATTTTTTGCACAACGTATCTCTACTGTCATCCGATCAACTGACTAATTTAAGCTGAAGTAAAACAGTGTAGGGGAAAAAACGCAACACACTGGCTTTATTCAGGGGCTGATTTTCAGGGATTTGATTGGTTACGGGAGTCCATTATGAGCTGAAATCGGTTAGAGAACCATTGAAAAACTGGTTAGGAGTACTACGAGACAGCATTTTTGTCATGGTTTGGGACTCAACTGCCACAGTTCGGGAGCACGATCTTCCGGTCACAAGGCGAGTTAGCTCGTAGACCATTAAGCCGCTCACTGTTACCCGACAATCCAAACCATGAATTCCACCTTCTGCCAATCCACGATATAGCTCCACTGACACTAGCCAATGTTATTGGCGGTAACAATGACTAGTGTCAGTGGAGCTATATCGTGGATTGGCAGAAGGTGGAATTCATGGTTTGGATTGTCGGGTAACAGTGAGTGGCTTAATGGTCTACGAGGTCGCTCACCTTGTAAGCGGAATGTTGTAGGTTCGAACTGTGGCAGTGGAGTGAGTACCGATAAAGAGTCCCAAACAAAACTTTCTGGCAGTACTCTCAGCTGGTTTTCCAATGGCTCTGTAACCTATGTCAGCTCACAATGAAACTGGATTTAATTCTAAACGAATGCACTCACATAACATGACTCGAAATTGTTACTTCTACTGACGTTTTTGCTGTTGCTGAAAAAGCTAACAGAAAAATCTTGCATTCCATGTGAATGCCTATAATGACAGGCTAAGGCCTAATAAAACTAATTTCCCTAATGATTTTCAATTGCAACACAACAAATCTGAAATTCTCCCCTAAAAGAATTTATCCCTAACTAATGAAAACAGAAAAAACAAACAAAAGACACTGTCTGCTTCGTTATTTCATTAGCTGATTACAAGGGGAAAAACATTTTTTTCCATTTCCATAATGTATATTCCTCCCGATTCATTCTCAATATATATGGTCAAATTTGTGTCATAGACTAATAGTAGACACTGGTTGTAATGTCCCCTAAGATGAATACAGCATTCTGGCCCTTATATGTAATAAAACTCCAAAATATTCCACATTCTGTATTCCCAAAGTTAATTACATACAATATTAGAATGTATTATATATATACATATATATATATAATTTCACCTCCTCTATGTGTACCTACCTGTTTGACATCTCCTTTGGGAGTACAGTTAGGTGGATTCATTATCGTATTTCCGAACATCATACTGCATGGTCAATCAAGGTACAAACAAGGTCTCTTTGTGGCTATGTTTAGCGTAACTTGCAGGTAGTCAGCATTTAAGCTGTGTTATAACTGATGATACTTCCGTTGTGCTAAAACGAGATCTACACAATTCATTCTTGGAGAAACTGAACAGTTTATCTCCCAGAGTCCAGTTGGAAGCAGAATCCGACTTCCGTGAACTAACACTTCTAGACTACATGGTTAAGAAGACAGAAAACGGTTTATTTAATATATTTATATTCAAGAAGAAAACCCACTCCAACAAATATTCAGACTTCGGGTCATCACACCCTATCAGCGCAAAGGTATTAGTTGTTTCAAGCCTTCTTAGACGTGCACACTCTTTGATGTTAACGGATGAGAAATAAAAAGAAGAAGAAATACCAAACATTAATGAGACTCTCAAGCAGGATAACTACTCAAAGAACTTAATCAACAAAGTCAACACAGACATTAAATATGGTCGAAAATGTATTCCAAAGATATGGGCCTCAACTGTTGCCATTCCATCTAGATCAGAAGCGTCAGATGACATCAGAAGAGTACTCAATAAGCACAACAAGAGAGTTTTCTTCAAAACATGAGACACACTAAAAAGCACCCAGTTTCATGTAAAAATACTCAATCTTATTGTGTTTACAAAATAAAATGCTTGGAATGTGATGCCAAATACATAGGATAGACATCGCGAGGAATCGAAATCAGCAGAAATGAACACCGTAGAGCATCTGTTCGATTTGTTCCATTTGAATTAGGAAAGCTTGAAAAATCATCAGCCACGCTATGAAATCAGAACTCAAAATTGATTTTGACAACATTGAAATAATCCAGAAATATTTCACAAGTCACAAAGAACGTCTCATATCATCAGAGGCACTTTATAACATATGGAATCCAAATTTTCTGAATATGAATGATATATGTAAACAGAATTTGACCTAGTTACAATACCCCCTCCCCCATGAAGTGACAAAATCAACACGAATGTGATGAGCTATTTCATTATGAAAACACATGCTGTTTTAATAATTTTATACATTTATCAAATCAAACAATCTACACCTGGTTCTATTATCTTTACCAATTGGTCAGCTTGACAGCGTAAAAATTACCTACTGCTGTGGAACGATGATAATGTTGTTATATACATAAAATGAGATTCTGTAATTTCTTCTGGTTTAATATTACTACTTCGATAATGCCATTTGTAGCACTTAAATAGCGAAACGTCATTAAAAATAGTAATGTCGTTTTGTTTTTCATTTGTTTGGAAATACAAAAAAACCAATGATATATGTCTGATTTCCCACAAACTGGAAGATATGCAAGCGAAAGCAACAAGTTGGCAGAAGAAGGATCAAAGATAGGACTTTAGGTGAACATAGAGAAAACAGAGGTGATGAAGATTCCTGGACAAAGACAACAACAACAGACAATGATCAGCATAAATGGGAGGAACCTGAAAGAAACAACCTATTTTACCTACCTGGGAAGCATCGTTTCAACTACAGGCCGGTGGAACTGACGAGGATATCAAAGCAAAAATCGGGAAAGCAAGACAAGCTTTCATTACTCTGAAGTCTGTGTGGAGGTCAACAGCACTCAGAATCAAAAATAAGATACAGATTTTCAACTCCAATGTGAAGTCAGTGCTACTATACGGATCAGAGACTTGGCCAGCGCGTCA